AAAACATCTCCCCTAGATTTTTGGCACAGAGCGTTTCATTTTTGTCAGATTCTTGCATGTGCTGGCTGATATGTTGATTACTGTTAAATCGGGATCCATGTTCTGTTTCAGCCAGGTGAGTGCATGGCAATTTTTTCCTAAAGTGCAGTGATATGTTGGATCCAGCATCGATTTTGGCTCCAGGGCAGAATTCCCAATATGGGCATCAGCCTTCCGGAAGCCAGGGAGATGCTGGCAGCATAATGTTGCTGCTTGTAGCTCAGGAGAGTGTGTTTCCTGGGGTTATTTTTAGTTGAACACCTGAACAGTTCAGGGCATTTTGACTTGCTTTTGAGGGTTTAGGTGACAACAGGGAATGAGGCCGATTTTTCTTCTTTAAGTTGTGGGTTTTATCTTTAGTAGTTGTGAGCACATCAGGGATATGGCCATGGCTTGACAAGTCACAAATGGGACAGGTGTGGAATATGGTTGAAGTTTAGGAACTGCTCTGGTAATTGATATTGAAAATGTTCCACTGCGGTAATTGCCTGGAGGATTGAGTATCTTTTTGCTTGTGACATGGTGATTTTGTAATGTCGCTTCTGTATTTTAATTTTCATTTAAAAGGTCCCTCAAGGTGAGCATCTTTAGAACTTGGATATGTTGTCATACGTGATAGATCAGTTGTTAGTCCTTCTGTGGATTTAAGAAGTGGAGAGGTGGGGGGAGAACTTTAGATCAAAACATGTTATGTTCTTATTCCTAATGATCATTTTTAAGTTAATCTGTGCTTGACTGTAATGCTTGAGCACATTTCAAATCCACAGCCACAGCACTTCTACTTAAGTTTTAAGGTAGTGGAATCATTACGCAGTGACTGGTAAATAATAAGGCTTTTCTTGGGGCTTTTTTGGGGAGCCACTTGCCTTTTTTTGCTCTGCAACAACATTTCTGTGTTGCTTTATGCTCCTTGTTTATCTTAGCTTGTACATTGGAACTACTGTAAAGTTTAAATGCTAAAACTAATTTCTCAAAATTCAGATAAAAAGTTCAACATGCACATTTGCAAAACATCTGTATGAAGAAAACTGAAGTGGAAGGAGGCTGGTTTTAGTTGTTTGTGGTCCAGCATTTCCATCATACTGCTGATAGCTCATCTTACTTTTTTTTTTCCCCTTTATAAACCGCATCTATTTGAGGCTGGTTTCTAAATTTATATTGTAACAATTCTGTGGGAAAAATATTTTTTATCTGTTCTAAAAGTTCACTAAATCTTTCATTTTGTATGTAAAACTAAAACTGTTTATTTGACTCTCTTGGTTTGCCATTGATACTGTGAAGTAGGAAAAGGGCACTGGTAATCTCGTTAGTTTATTTATTACCTTTCTAAGCTTCATGCATATGTTGAAAAAAAATTAATTGTGCTCCTTTATTCTAGGCTTAATTTCACCATAGTTTGCGGGGTAAAGTTAGAAAAGGGGCCGAGCTAGGATATCTGAGGGATTGTACCTGCTTGTGTGGGATTTTTTGGTTCTGCTTGTTTGGGCTTTTGGTATGTGTGGATTGTCCTTTCTTTCTACGTTTAACCCTTTCAGGGATATTTGTGGGGGGTTGATTTTTATTTTTTTTATTTGAACTCTTCACCATGCATTGCAAGTGATAACGCTAAATGTGATGGAAGAAGTAGGAACTTCAGCACAGGGTTGCTTGCAGCCTTGCTCTGAATGGTATCATCCAGCAGATAGTATCATCATCTGAAGCTGAGGGACAAAACTGGAGGGTGCTGGACTGCTTTGCGAGGAATTGGACTGAAGCTGGGAGAGGCTGACATAAGTTTCCATGTTGTGGAGTCTGGCTTTGTCGCTCCTGTCTTTCTGAACAGAGCAGCTGCTGATTCTCCTGCGTTCTGCAAAGGCAGATGAAGGAGTGAGGTGGGATCTTTACCACAAAGTGGGTGTTACTTTGGGACTCCTCACTGATGACTGAGGAAGTGGTATCATTGTTAGTGAGCCTTTTTGATGAGCCCTCACCGCACTTTGGGGTGGAAGTGAGCTGGAAGTTGTGTGCCAATCACAGTGTATGCAAGGGTACAGCAAAGGAGTCTCCTACCTACTAAAACCAGAAGTGAAGTCCCCTGCAGAGGTAGTCCTGTTGAATGATGCTGAGTCTTGTTACTCCTGCATCGGAAGGGAGGGGGGGTGGAGGGGTGGTGGTGGTGTATATAGCTGGTGTTGGTCACTTTAATAACCTCTCTTAGTGAATGCAGCACACACCTGTGACTTGTTGTAGCTCTTAGTGACTGTTGTGGTTAATACTGCTGAAAAAAATCGGTAAGGACTCCAGTGTTATTACTCTTTGGGGCTTTTACCCTGAGTGACTGCTTTCACTGTTTCTGTCTGCTGTGACAGAGGTGTAAATCTCTTGCCTCAGCTGCTGCAAATCCAGTTCTCAAATACAGCTTTTTAATTTTTTTAATTGGTTTGATTTTGTTTTTCCTCCTAGAAAGTTGTTTGCTGAGGTGTGCTTTCTATTCCAAAGTTTTGGTTACACTGTGTAAGTTGTCTTTGAAGTAGCTGTCACCTCTCTGCTTTTCCTAGTTGCCCAGGCAAAAATCCAGGCTTCCTCGGTGTTCTTTCCTGCAGTTGTCTGTCTTAGCCTCGTGTTTGACCCTGCTTTGGATGAATGCGCATGTTGTGCTCTGCAGATAGCTGTCTTTAGGAGAGAATGAAAAGGTTTTATTGCTGCATGTTTCTATAGGCTGTAAGAGATGAGAATCGCCTGCCATAAGCTTTCAGCACCTTTTAACAACTGCTCAAAAATTCATCTGAACATCAAAGCAAGCAGCAAGCACTTGAATTTCTTGCTAAGAAATGGAAGTGAGAAATACTGCTTGGCACACATAGATGTCTTTTTCATCGACTCCCAAGGTCTTGTAGCATGCCCGATGGTCTGTAAGCCAGGGCACTTTGAACTGAAAGACTGCCAGCAGAGAAGGTATTGCCACAGCCAGAATGTGCTGCATTTTAGAGAGTGTTGTATGCTCCAGGGGCTGGGTTTGGCTGCTTTAGCACAAGATCTCAAATAAGGCAATACCATTTTATTTGCTCTTGATTAAAGTCCGTGCATTTAAACTTCGTGACTGGGCAAGATGACAGTAGTCTTCTAGCCCTCCCCGCACTACCCAGAAGTTAACTTCAAGTCTGCTGCCCCCAAAACATGCAGAAAGACAAGCCCTTCTGGCTCAGGTGCCTTCTACCTGTCAAACAGCTTTTGCTAAGAGATTCACGGAAGTCCCTTCATCTGGCTGGTGCCTGCAGAAGCCACCTGACCCTGCTAGCTGGAAGTGAAGACCTGCGGTGTTTTGGGTACTTTGTTTTTGATGCTTCTCTTCTGTTGGATGCTGGTCTTTGTATGCGGGATGGCTGCCTTGCCTCCCCCAGGCTGTTTTGAGCTGGGAGAAGGTGAATTAATGTGAAATAAACTGCCATTGCATAGCAGTTTATAGTTTAAGTGATATGACACTTTTTTGATGTCCTGCCCTGTTGATCACTGTGTCTGTCTGTCCTCCACCCAGGTTGAATACCTGACTCAGAAGTTCTGTATCTGACTGCTTGAAAACTACACATGTTGCTTCCTTTTTTGACTCCCAGGAGTGTGGGACAATGTCTTCTTATAACAGATAGCTCAAAAGGGTTGTTTTAAACTTTTAGTGATTGATTATTGCGTTTAGATTCAGTAAACTCACTCCCTTAAATAGGAGTGAAAATTTCCACCAAATTAAATACTTGTGCTGCAGAGAACTCGGTTGCAATCAAAGTCTTGGGACATGCTCCTCTTACGTGGAAGTCTTGTTTATCCCATGGTCTTTGGATAATCTCAAGACCCATTGTACAGTAACTACCAATGAGGGTTTATTAAATGGGGGCACTTAGCTATGTTGCTGTTTTTAACTGCATGTGGTTTTGTTTAAGAAATGAAGCTGCTTATGTTTCAGGTGTGGGCAAGCCTGCGTTCTAATAGTGCAGGCATTTCAGGTTCAGCTCTCTGTAACCTACTCATGCCTAGCTTCTGCTTTGTCTGTTTTTGCAGAATAATTTTTTACTTCTTTAATGATTTCCTCATTCAATCCATTAATAAGATCAGAGCAATTTCCATTTGCTGTTATTAACTGTAAACTGTTACTGGTTCTTATTTAGCAAATGTAGCATTTAATATAGAATTGCAAAGTCTGGTAAGAATGTTTATGGATTTCTGTTGGCACTTGTTTAGAGCCTGTAACTGATCACTGTTTTGACCTTTATTAAGTAGAGGCCCAGAATTTTTTCTTGTGTGTTCTCTGTATGTGTTACATGTTGAAAAATCAGTTTCAAAAAGCTTAATACCTTTTTTTAATGGGACCGTGGAAGCGATACCCTCCTTCACTCCTCAGACTTCTGAAAACCACATTTCATGTGAACTAAGTGGTGGCCTGATGATTTCAATGGCATCAGGCATTATCTTCTGCGATTGTCCCTATTTAAAATGTGCCTTTTGTTTTTCATGGATGCCTTTGCTTTTTGCTGGCTTGTGTTTGTGTTGGGTTATTTTTAAGGGGAGTTGTATTTCTAAATCGTTGTCTTGCTGTGTGAATCCACCTTATTTCCTGGCCTCCACCCATCTCTCAGCTAGCGACTGCCACCATGGCAACTCTTCCTCTGGCTGAACAGATGGGACATTGAGTCTCCTCCAGGAGCAGAGCACTGCTCACGCCCTGCTGGGAATCATGCGGGTTGCAATCCTTGCTGCAGAATTCGGAGCAAGCTCTGGCCAGCAGAGGCATGCTGGTTTTGAGGGTGCTTGGTTTCACAAATCATACTGTGGTTGAAGAATTGCTTGCAGAAATAAAACATGGTGCCTTATTGTATCTGTGCCTGAAAGCTCTTCAGAGGAACTTTGTATTTAGTGAGAGGAGCTTGGCCTCAGCCAGCACCTGGTGATTTTTCTGATAGAATGGTTGCCATCTCAACTTTTCTTTTCTCTAGGATGCGTCAGGATGAAACGCCACAGGCATCTAAGCACCAGTGACAGTTCAGACAATGAGAGTAAGTAATACCTACTAGTTTTTCTTTGGTCTGTCACCCCCTTGTGGTTTCCTTCCGTGGTTTGAGGCCAAACTGTTTCACCTCTTAAAATTAAAAAAAAAAAATGTTTCTTGATTTCTTTTTTGCATTCTGTGGTTTTTGATGTTCTGATTCCTGTTATAGGAGGAAAATGAGGCAAACGATCCTTTAAACCTAGGGGAAGTTTTGAGTCTACTTAGAATGTAAAGAGAAACTTGAGTGTCTTTACTTTTCAATGTTGGGGAAATGAAATCTGTAATTCAAGAGAAAAATTTACTGTCGGGGGTCCTATTTTGTAATTCCTATTTTTTAAAAGGAGTTCTGTTGTCTCTTGTTATGCAGGAGCCTCAACTTCAAAATGACTGGGGGTGGCAAGCTATTTGAGCATTGGTACGTTAGAGTGTACATAAGACACAGAATTACAATAAGTATATTGATAGTTATCTTACATTACACTGGTCCTTGATCTATTCTACTTTGTTCTGTTGTACCACTTCGGATAGTTATATTTTAAACGTTCCTTGGCACACATTAGCCTGAGTTTGCTGAGGAAGGTGGGGACACCTTCCACTTGAGCAGGTTGTCTTCGCCCCCCTGCCCTCCCCAGACCTTCCTCTCTGCTTTTTGTTTTCCAGGACTTGCAAACTCTGTCTCAGTTTTGCTCCTTCTTCCACTTTGTTAGAAAGAAAGCAAAGGAAAGTGGTCTGCCTGCCTCTTTCTGTTTACTCCTGCTTGCATCAGGCAGATCAGAATGTACCCATAAGCTGTGTGCTGTGGCTTTACAAAGAAGGAGTGGAACAGAAGGAGCTGTAATTAAGCCTACAGACTGCCTAAGAGTTTTTTTGCCCACATCTTGTCAAAAACTTGTGATAATTCAGGAGACTGGAGCACCTTGTGTCTTACTGAAAAATTAAATGAATTGAAATGAGCTATAATGTTTTTGTTTTTGTTTTTTTTTAAACAGGTCCTTCCACTTCCTTTTCATCTTGTTCTAAATACAGGAGCAAGTCAAAAACACCAGCAAATGAACAAAAGAAACCTGCTGAGGTAAGAACCAGGGTTAAAGATTGGTTGCTGGTAATTTTTTGTCATGTAGTTTTAATGTTTCTAAGCCTTGAAATCAGGAGCTTTGAACTAGTGCCAGTGAGTCCTTTTGTCACCTGTCAAATTCTTTATGAAACTCTGTTTTCCCCACTGTGCGAGTATTATGGGAGCTCTAGTGTTTGATGTCCCAGAATGACTTTGGGCATTTGCAGACAGTATTGTGTAGTTCTTTCTTCCCCTGAAATGTAGTCTTCTTTTTAAATTGGAAAAGCTGGGATGGTTTTAGGACTTGAGCGTGCCACAGAAAAGTGGTTCATGTGTATGGGAAGCATACTTTCTTTCTGCTTTAGGATAAAGCAGTGGGCCACTTAAGTGGGCAGGATATGCATGAGGAGTGCTTACTCATCTTCTGTCACTTTCTCACTTTTGGCTTTTTACCTTCAACAAAGTATTTTATTTTATTTTTTTCCTATTCACTCTGCTGTCCCCACCATTAGGACCTCACCTACTGCCATTGTCACTGGATCTGTATCCACCAGTTGAATAAACTGGCCTATATGCACAGTCCAGTGCTCAAATCCAGTCTGTCAGTCATTCCACCAGTAGCCCTTCTGCGGGAGAATTTGTAGGCTGCCTTCTCCAGATTTGATGCTTGCTTTCTTAAGGGATGAAGTCAGATAACTGCTGCAAATGGGAAGAATGTTTTTCTTTCCCTTTACCTTGCTATTGCATTCACTCCAACTGAGTCCTTCAACATGTTAGTATGAACTGTTGATGCCTGAGGTTACTGAAAAAAAACACCAAAAAAATACAAAACCCACTTTGCTCAACAATTTAAAGCTGAGATTTTTTTCCCAGAAGTAATTTTCTGTACTATACCAGCAGCTTTTTACCTGCTTTAGGTGCTACTATGAGAGATTGCATGAACTAGAATGGATTGTGCTCATACAGCAGAGCTGTTTGGCAGACATACTTCATGCTTCTTTTCTAAATGCTGCTAACCAGATGAGTTTGGTTTGGTAAGAGCAAAGTACATGTTGCAGAGCATGTTCTTTCTTTAGAAGCTTAATTTTTATCACAAATTAATTGAATAAAACTCACAGATTCTTTTCTAGAACAGAATCTTTTAGGAAGGTTTCCATAAAAGGAAAATTGGCCATCACTAGCTACATAGTGTCTTATTTACAGCCATCAAGAAGGTTAAGAAGAGTTTACTTACTTTTTACCTTTAAAAAAGTAAGTCTGAGGTCTGAGGGTAATGGTTCTGTGAGAATTTTAATCTTAAAACAGCGCATGGCTTCTGAGGTCTTGTAGTTATTGCTGATGTCTGCCTTGTTACTAGCTGAGCTAGTAACTATGAGCTAGTAACTAGGGCAAATGGGAACTGAAACGCGCATACCCTGCCAGACTTCTTGTGTCAAATACACCTCAGTGCTAATCCCTTACCAATCAATCCCTTGTTTCTTTGCAGCCATCCAGCTTTACTTTTGTGTCTCTTCTTGGTGATTGTCCTATTACAGTTTTCTTTGCATTTGTTGCATGCTGTCATTATGGTGTGTATGTACATTATAAATAATTATGAAGATTTAGTCCATATGTATAGCATACAAGTATTCTGTTTATGTAACTTCTAGGAATTAAAATGAGCAGTATTTTCAGTTCCTCCTCTTGGGATCTTTGCTGCTTTCTACCTGTTTCAGCACAGAATCTTGAACCCTTTACTGCTTGAAAATATGAAACTTTGAACAACAAAATCTGAAATATACAGTTTGAATTAAAAAGTGTATTTTGTAACATCATCTTTCCAATAATAATGACATCTTTTTATCATCTTTCATTTAAGATCCTGCTCCTGGGAATAAAAGAAGGAAAAAAAAAAAAAGGAGAGAAATCTTAACCCTTAGAATATGTTCTCGTCTGAAGGAGTGTCCCAAGTATAGTATTTAAAAGAATGCTGTATTTCCAGGGGGTGGGGGAGGAAATCAAGTCCCATGGGAAAAGGGAATGAAAGGGAAGGTGACAGTAATAATCTCTACTGCTTGTACATAAACTCTTGGCTGTCCTTCCAGTTTTCCTTTCCTTTTGCTTCCTTCTGCTGGAAGCAAACACTTCTTGCAAATCCTTGAAAAGCACATGCTGGGAGAGTGTGTTACATGAAATGCTGTTGTCTGCAAAGCCTTGAAATTGATTATTTATGCACCAAGTGGTGACAAGTGTGTAAAGCAAAGACTGAAAAGCGACCCCACCACCCACCCTTCCAAAAGTCATGTTGTAATCCCACAAGTTTTTTGTAGCAATAGTTGTCTAATAACTGTCAGATAGAAATTTAAAATTTCGGGCTGACAGGATCTGTTTAGCAAGGGCTCTCTTTAACAAGTTGGCATTCCTCTGCTTTTGTTCACCTCTGCTTGCCAGGCAGCAGGCTGTTTCTTGAGTCAGTGATGCAGAAAATCTAGAAGGTCAAAGCTATAAATAGCTGTTTGGGAATATTTTTGCTCATGGTCTTCATACATTGATTTTTCTTTCATGCCAGTAAGTCTGGCTTTCTCAATTAGATTGCATGTGAATACATAGGGTTTTTTTCCACTTCTTTCACCGTGTTCAGCCCAGCCCAAGTACCTGGGTTCTCTTTCCAAATACAAGCTTGGTTAGGGCCCTGTGACCAACAAGAAAGTTAGTGTATCTGTAGATTGCTTCACAGGACTTGTCTGTACATGCTATGGTCCTCTGTGCTCACCTCTAAAAAAAGATGAATGGCTGCAGTTGAGGAGAGCTCTGCCTTGAACTACCTCCCAGGTCAGTCAGTATCGAGGTGGGTGCAGATGGCCTCAGTGGAGCCATGGAAAGGTTATCTGGTGTTTCTTCAGGGCAAAAGGGCTCAGTGTCAGAATGCACATGTCAGAGTTCATTCCCAGAGCCTAACTTACCCCAGAGGTTTGCGTCAGTGCAAAAGGGATGTTACTGAGTCAGACCTGGGTCTGCTTACTCCATGCTCCTCCTTGGAGGAGAACAAGGCAAGCCTGTGACGATGCTTCTTCAGACCACCGTGTTTCTCTATGTAATTTAAAAAGCAGGACTGTGGCTCTTTCTCTGTGCTCCCCTTCTGGATTATTACAATCTATCACAAACTACTGAAATGTTGACTTAAAAATTCTGCTGTCTGATTAGCTTTAGCATTTACTTTGAATAAATACTGTTAAGGCTACAGGTACTTCAGTAGTATAAGTCAAAAGTTTTTCAGGCCTTTATGGTGATGTTGGCTACGTGCCATTTGTGGTGTTGCCCCTCAGGGGTTTAAACATAGACAGGAGGGGCTTGCAGGCTGGAGCAGTAGGCTGTGTGGGAGTAGCAGAGTAGCAGGCATTTGGGTGTCTGGCTCAGCATGAAGCCTGTACTTTGCAGCTTCCTGTCTCTGTGGAAGCTGCAGAAAAAAATGATGGCATTTTTGCAGGGAAAACCTATTAGCTGGGCTGTCCGGAATGAATGTGGCTGTTTATTTTCTCTTAGACTACTGGGGTCACAAAAGAGCCTAAGAGATCTTTATGATGCTCCACACTCAAGCTTCTATATGCATAAAAATATGTATATATATTTTAGTCCCCTCTCCTTTTGAAACTGTAAAGGAGTTAGGTTAGCATTGTGCTTTTTTTTTTTTTTTAACCTTCCCATAAAAGATGGCAGTATTTTACCTTTCTTTACAAATAGGCTTTTGAGTCTCTCAGCAATAGTAGTTTTTAATCCCTCATTGATGATAGCGACAGCTGAGTTATCATGTGAAATATGGCTTGTCTTCTACAAGTAAATGGTCTGCTTTCATTACTTGGATATGTGAAACTTTCTTTAGTGGCATTTAACTGCCACATAAATCGTAGGTCTTGATCCTGAAGAGCACCGTGTAAGACCAGACTCTTGGCAGAAAATGGATTCTTCTTGCAGTTTGAAAGTGGTTGGTTTTGTTCTATGTATGAATAGACAATGTGGTTGAATTATATTGCTCTGCATGTACCATGCATAATAGAAGAGGAGGCTGTTACTTTTATACTCATGCTACCTCAGAAAATTCTGAATTAACTTGGACATCTGCTCAGGTTTCTCAAGACCTCTGGCAAACATGGCTTAAGCATTTCAATGCGCAGCTTTTTAGCCTGCTTAGGTTATGATTTTTTTTTTTTAAAAGTGTTTTACAATACTTCTATGTATGTCAGAGGTGCAACCTCATTGGTTATTTTTATGCTTTCAGATAGTCTCAGGCTATTTGGTCTTTTTAGCAAGAGGTGACCCGGATGCATAAGTGCATGGAAGAGCTTGCTTATGAAAAGGCTGACCTGTTTTACCTTTGGAAGTGCATGAGCAGGTCTAAGAGTTAAGTGTGAGTGGTCTGGAAACAGCAGAGCTAGAGCTTCAGTCCTGCCTGTCCTTGTGATGGAAGAACTGGGGAGGAAAGCTGGGAGGGAGTGAGGGGGTGGTGAATGAGGCCAAAAGTTAAGAAATCTGTAGCAATTAAAAGGATATGCTTTTCCATGCATCATGTAATTAGACTGTGGAGCTCATCTGCTACAGGAAGTTGTTGAGACTGAGAATTAAACAAGATTAAAAAAGAAATGGGGCAGATGATAATGAGCACAGATTTTTCTAAATATCTGTATAAATTAATACCACTTAAAACAAATTGATTATTCGGATTAATCCCAAAATCTGAAGCTTATGTCTGATGGGCAACCAGAAGGAAACTTGACGTGTTCTTGCACAGTCTTCTGGCTCATGAGATACTGTCGGAGACATGACGTTGGGTAGGGATGATTTAGTATCCAATTTCCTGGCTTTTTCTATACATGCTTGTAAAAGAGCCTAGGAAGATTCATGGCTACTTAACGGCCAAGTACAACATTTTATTTGTTTGTGTCCTGGATAATCCATAAAAATGGTTTTTAGGGAGTAGGGGTTCCACATTAGGATTTACTGCAGTGTGTGTCCAAAGTGTGTGGATGTTTTGAGAACTACAG